GGGTTCCCCCCAGACGCGCCTGGGTGGCAGTTCTACCACCCCACCTCTCGCCGTGTTCTGTCCTCTCAGGACGTCACGTTCGACGAGTCGGTACCCTACTACCGCCTCTTCCCCTACCGCACTCCGTCCCCCCCCCCGCCCCCGCTCTTCCTTGTACCAGGTCCCCCCCCGGTAGACCCCCTCCCCCCTCAGGGTCCTGCCCCTTCAGGTGTGTCCCAGGTAGACGCAGTCGAGCCTGTCGAGGTCACTGGTGATTCTGGTGCTGCTGGGGGTGCTGAGCCTGGGGGTGCTGGGCCTGGGGGTGCTGGGCCTGGGGGTGCTGAGCCTGGGGGTGCTGAGTCTGGGGGTGCTGAGCCTGGGGGTGCTGAGCCTGGGGGTGCTGAGCCTGGGGGTGCTGAGCCTGGGGGTGCTGAGTGTGGGGGTGCTACGCCTGGGGGTGCTTTGCCTGGGGGTGCTGGACCTGGGAATGCTGCGCCTGGAGGTCCTCCGCCTCGAGTTTCTACGCGTGCTTTGTCTCGCCGGGAGCCACTCTCTCCACAGGAGCTGCGCGAGTGGTTTGCCCGGCGCTGGAGCCGTGCTGCTGGTGCTGGAGGTTCGTCGGCTACTGAGGGTGCTGCTGTTGCGGGTCCCGGAGGTGCTCGTACTGGAGGTACTGGAGCTGCTGGGCCTGGTGGTGCTACTGGTGCTGGTGCTGCTGAGGGTGTTGGCGCTGAGACTACCACTGGCGGTCCTGCTGGGGGTGCTCCTGGTGTTGCTCGAGGTTCTGGAGCTACTGGAGGTGCTGCTGGAGCGGGTGCTCCTGCTGGGGGTACTGGTGCTGTCCCTGCTGTTTCTGGCGTAGCTACGCGGCCTCGACCGTACTTCGTTCCACTCCTGCAGCAGGTTCTTGGTCTTCCGCCCTCTCCTGGTCCTCCTTCTCTCTTGGAGGGTCCACAGCCTGTCCCGTCACGGTCACTGCTACAGCCTACCTCCCCTTTGCCTGCTCCTTCTCCCTACACTGGTCCTACTGGAGGTCTTACTGAGCGTCGTGAGCCTGCGTCTCGCCCTGCGTCGCCTGTCCGTGCTGCTCGCGCTAGTGGTCGTGGTTCGCGTCAGCGTCCTCCTCCTGTCCCTGGCACGCACAGGATGTCTCTGCGTCCGTCTACTGCTCCTCTGCGTGCCCCTTTGCCTTCTCCTCCTGAGTCCTCTCTTCCTGCTCTTCCCGACCCTGAGTCGGACTCTCTTCGTGCTGCCAGTCCTACTGTCACGCGTCTCCTTGCTACTGTCGTCTCTGACCCTTCCTTCGAGTCTACTGCTGCGTCTGCCCTAGTTACTGAGCTCGTCGACTTTGCTGCTCGCTGTCGCCTAGACTACGCTGCTAGTCTTGTCGCTGAGTCTGGGTCTGCCTGTCCTCCGTCAGTCGGGGGTGAGTGTGCCCTTGGCACGGACGTCCTTGAGGACAGGCAGGAGGAGTTCCAGTGTCTGGCAGCTGCTTCACCTCATCTCGTGTCTGTACTGCTTACCCCTGAGGGAGACCCGGATGCACTTGACATCCCGACTCCGCGCTCTTACGCGGAGGCGATAGAGGGTCCCTACTCCTCTCAGTGGCAGGCAGCTATGGATGCAGAGATGGCTTCCTGGAAGTCCACAGGCACCTACGTTGACGCTGTCCCCCCTCTTGGGGCGAACATCGTCAGTGGCATGTGGATCTTCAGGGTGAAGCGGCCGCCGGGTTCTCCGCCTGTCTTCAAGGCACGTTACGTGGCTCGTGGCTTCAGTCAGCGAAAGGGAGTTGACTACTTTCAGACCTTCTCCCCCACCCCGAAGATGACCACTCTTCGGGTGCTGCTACACGTTGCTGCTCACCGTGACTACGAGCTGCACTCTCTCGACTTCAGCACTGCTTTCTTGCAGGGCAGCCTGCACGAGGAGATCTGGCTGCGCCGCCCACTTGGCTTCACTGGGTCTTTCCCTCCTGGTACCCAGTGGAGTCTCCGGCGTCCAGTCTACGGTCTCCGCCAGGCGCCACGTGAGTGGCACGACACACTGAGGACTACGCTTGCGGCTCTTGGGTTTGCTCCTTCTACTGCCGACCCGTCGCTGTTTCTACGCACCGACACCTCTCTGCCGCCGTTCTACATCCTCGTGTACGTCGACGACTTGGTCTTTGCCACAGCTGACACTGCTGGACTCGCCCACGTGAAGTCCGAGCTGCAGAAGAGACACACGTGCACAGACCTGGGTGAACTGCGCAGCTACCTTGGCTTGCAGATCACCCGGGACAGAGCACGCCGCACCATTACCCTGACTCAGTCACACATGGTGCAGCAGGTCCTTCAGCGCTTCGGCTTCACGTACTCCTCGCCGCAGGCCACTCCTCTGCCTACTCGCCACTCACTCTCAGCTCTGCCTTCGGATGAGTCCGTAGAGTCGAGTGGCCCGTATCCAGAGCTTGTTGGCTGCCTCATGTACCTGATGACCTGCACACGACCTGACCTTGCATACCCTCTTAGCATTCTTGCACGCTATGTTGCTCCAAGGAGACACCGACCAGAGCACATGGCTGCAGCGAAGAGGGTGTTGCGATACTTGTGCAGTACGTCGGGCATGGGGCTAGTGCTTGGAGGGCGGAGTCCAGTGGTCCTCACTGGGCACGCGGACGCTTCTTGGGCTGACGACCAGGCTACGCAGCGGTCGTCGCAGGGTTACACCTTCAGTCTTGGTTCCGGCTCTGTCTCGTGGCGAGCTACTCGCTCGTCCTCTGTTCTCGGCTCCAGTTGTGAGGCTGAGATCTACGCCGGGGCCATGGCTGCACAGGAGCTTCGCTGGCTCACCTACCTGCTGACTGACCTTGGAGAGCCGCCTCGTTCTCCTCCAGTGCTGTACGTAGACAACAAGGCCATGCTGGCCTTGTGTCGAGAGCAGCGCTTGGAGCACAGAACGAAGCACATTGCTCTCCGTTACTTTCTTGCTCGTGAGCTGCAGCAGCGTGGTCAGTTGCGACTTGCGTACGTGGCCTCTCAGGCCAACACTGCTGATGTGTTCACCAAGGCACTTGCGCCTTGTGACCATCAGCGTTTCTGCACTCAGCTGGGTCTTGTACCTGTCTTGCCTCACTTGCTCTTCTCTTGACCTTGCTTGTACTGTCACATATATATACCTGCTCTTGCTTGTCTAGCTCTATATATATATGTGTACTCCTGCATGTGAACTGGCCTTGTGGCCTTGTCGTTGTGCTCGGACTGTGTGGTGACTTTGTGATCCACCCTGAGCTTGCTCTGCTTTGCTTGACTGGTCTTGTGACCCCTTGTTCCCCCACTTTGCCTATGGGGGTGTGTCAGAACATTATATAGCTTATGCTGTTGTGTAGGCTATAGTGGGGTATCCCATAGGGGGTACAACCCAATTAGGGTTTCCTATATGTACTCACTTCATTCATAGTTCATTCATCCTCGTTCTTCATTCTTCTCATGCGGGCGGTGGCGGTACCGCGCGCCGACTTGATTCCGCGCGCCGACACGATTCTGCGGGAGGGGATGGTACCTCCAGAGCAGGCGAAGGCCGCAGACATTATGCTTCGAGAGATCGGACCGCGACAGGCGGAATCGCGAGTAGATACTATAGTCGTTTCCAAAAAAGCCACCAGCGCACGTGGCGGTGGGCAAAGCAGTTGGGTTGGAAATAACGGCGTGGAGCACGGCGGGGATCGCGGCGCGATTCGCGGGTTGCAGGGAGAGGGAGTGGATGGGAGGGAGGAGATGACGCTGGGTTGTCTCATTCCGACTTACTCACAGGACTGATGGAACATGCTGGCAGGTGCATCGCGAAAAAGGACTTGCTTCTAGGTTGCGGGAAAGTTGCAAAAAGGTTACTTTTAAGATACCGCCCTCCCACAACTTTCCCGTGATGGTCGAAAGTTGCAGAAATCGCAGACACTAGAAAGTAGCAAAAAGGTTGCATTTTTGGGTGTACCGCTTCAATATTTTGGATACATTGCCGCAGCCACACGGACACTCGTTAGGAACTTCAGCGACATCTGCGAAACACTACCATCCTGACGCGCCTTTGCGTCCAAACTGCCCGCACATCCCCGCAATGTTGCCGCCTAGACAGTTACAACTCTCGTGCTAACGTGTATGACTGATACGTACGCATGTCACCCCCCGTACAGTCACCAACCCAAACGCACACCAACCAATCTCCGACACATGTGTAATTCTTACTTGACAGCCAGAATGTAACCACAACTCGCCCACCAATGCGCGTAATATCCCGCCGCATTGTACACCACTGGGAGTCGTTCGCGAACCCGAACATCGCCAATCCCCGACCGATACGTGATGCCCGCGCGCCAAGCACGGACCCCACTGATTAGACGGCTGGCTTATGCATACTTCGACCGTGACCAATGAAGCGCTGCCTACCTTGTAACCTGGTGATGCACCATGTTGCCAGCATTGGCGCAAATCTGTGTCGCGTCCGTTTTTTCGTGATGTCGCCTTAACCCCCTCCGCCGCACACCCACCCTCCCCGCCCACTAAGGCACCAAGGCGAAGCGTATTCGGTAGTTCGCCGTACGTTACCATAGATGCGCGAACGTCATCTGCACCGTTGCGCATCGCGCGACAACAGCATCTTAAATACACTTGTGCGCATGAGCGGTATACCCGGCATGAACACCAGCCGTTGATCTCAGCGGGTTACGTATAACGTGCACCACAAAAACGCGACGCGGCAAACAGTTTGTAGCCACTAAATATAGCATTCCTAATAATGAATACCGCACACTGTCCATACCGCGTCTATTGTGCTGTTCATAGATTGCGAATACGTGCATCTCGTGTACATCGAGTAATTTTCGCAGATTAACGACGTGTACCCACGACATAAGCTTCTTTTCACTCATCATTTCCACACACACCAGCTGTTTTCCTACAACAACCATAACAACCCCGGTAACCTCTGATGCCCATTTTACACTACAAACATAACACGTCACAATTCTCTAATTGTAGTAACCCTCACATATAGAACCCCGAACCACTCCTAACGGATGCCCAGCCCCCGCCTAAAGCACTGCCATTGGATCCAGATGCGTTGTCCTCCTGTTCAGCCGCCCTCCGTGCATAACAGCCGGGGACAAGGTGCTCTAGTCCACAGGAGGACAGCATCAGACCATGCTCCCCCCAGACCCACGCCTCCACCTCTGCGTCGTACTTGGGCTTGAACGTCTGGATCGCCTGCTTCACTGCTAGCAGTGCCACATAATGCAGGCCGTCCACCACTTGCGCGTTGCCTCCAGCAGAGTTGGACAGGCGTGCCTTGCGCTTGTCCCAGTTGAGGATGGTGTCTGTCACCTGCATACAACCACAATCGGCGCATGCACACATATAAGTCACATGCTTTTGTAGAAGCCCCAGTTCCCACCCAACACTCACCACATGCTCGAGCCACGCCATCTGGTACAGCTTCACCGTCACGCCCCCATTGACCCTCCTCAGCTAGAAGGCTGTCACGGCGCAAGCAGTGAACGCCCCGGACGCAAAGATCATGCCACTCTTGCTCTCGCTCCATGTTGACAGCGTGAGGTCATCTGCACACACCATAGACAAGCGGCATACCCTGTTATCGCTACTCCAAGCATCCTCCTTGCATCACGTTGCACACCACGTACCGTTCACATCGTCCAGGAGGCGATATCGCACGCGAACCTCCGCGGCTTCTCTCCGCTCCTTACGTGCCCATGGGCTGCGTGCATCCCGTTCGTCGCGCCATAGTCCAATGCGCGGGAACGCAATGTCACGTACATGCCCCGTCACCTCTGTCTTTCACTAGCTGAGTAAACTTGTTCAAGTCATCCCGTCGCGTCTTGCAGGCTGCTAGGGCGACACTTGCATACCTAAAAGTCAGACGGCGGATAACCGCGCAAACTCCAAGCGTCTTGTCTTCGCTGCTGGGATAAAACGTCATGTCATCATTCGCCCGCTCGATGAACAGGTACTCTCTCACATGGTCGCAAGATTTCTGCCCAAGTAGTGTATCGCAAGGTTAGGGAGAAACCCGGTCACGACACCAACACAACCGCTATCGCATCATACAGACCCAGAACCTGTGCAACCAGGAAACTCAAGAACGCCACGCTGGACACTCACCTTCCACGGCTTGTCCGCGGGCAAGAAATCGAACGCCTCCTGAAGCAGGGGTGAGCTCGAGACCGTCAAGTGCCGCCTCTTGCATGCAGGCGCCTTCACGGGCTCCTCCTCCTCCTCCTCCTCGTCGACATCCTCATACGAAGACTCGTCGATGGAGTCCGACGTGACTCTCTTTCACTTGCTCTTCCGCGCCTCCTTGCGCGCCCGTTCCTCGCGCAAACCTATCTGTCTCTTGTTGGCCCGTTTTGGATCCTGGGCCGCTAGCAGCTGAGCCTCTAGGCGCGCAATCTTGCAGTCGCTCTCCTCTCTCGCTGTCTTCATCTCCTCGAGCTCGTGACGGCTTATGACAACGTTGTCCTCGGCCAACGTTGCCGCCAGCCATGAACCAGACGCCGGTTCCGCAGCGCCACTAGGCAACGCGACAAAAGGATCGTTCGGACCCGGTGCAGGCGGTGCCTTTGCACCCGTGTCTTTCGCTGTCCCAGGTGTGTCGCCCATAACAGAAGCAACAGGCTTTGATCGGACCGGAGCTGCCTCCCCCTCGCCATGGCTTCCCACGTCTTCGTCGCCTGCGCCTACGCTAGACGCCGCAGCTGCAATCGGCGTGACTTGAGATGCCCCCTGAGCCACAGTATCCACGCCTGTGCGAACATTAGAAACAGTAAGCCAACTCAAGCTACTCTATGAGCGCCTTAACACACAATTCAGAGGCGACAAAATGAAAATACCAGCACGTCTACATGAACTGGAACCCCATGACACAATACCTTGTACAGGAATACACTTCTGCTTGGCCACTCTAGAGCGCTTATACTGCCCACCACCCCCGCGCACGATTGTCTCTCCGCGGGGGCGTTTACCGCCGAGGTGGTACGCGTTTCGAAGGTATGCAGGGGTTTGCCTTGGCCTGTGCGATCGACCAGAAGGCAGTTCCTCCGAAGTCCCCATGGGAGTCTCCATTGCGCAATGGCAAAGAGAACCACCTCTCAACAACCGCACACCTTTGTGCAAAAGTATGCACAATCATACAACGCATTCTGTGACGCTCGAAGAATAGATGGATCCCTCGATCGTTCCAGCGCCACGGTGGGTGCGGGAGGACGCAATCACAACAGCCAATCATGCAGGGCCACGCGTGCATCCCAAGATTCCCCTATCTCAACCGAAGCCGATTTTGAATGTATGGCGCTATAGAGTCCTCACCAAACAAGCTGAAGATGCAAAATCCGTACACCATATAGTACTAGGCATTCAACGTAACAAAGTAATCAATGTTGTCCGATCCGAAAATACTACCCAAGACCATTCTACCACTTTGAATAGCCTAGCCACCGAAGCCTCGCATCCATGGCCCAAACCCTCTGCTCACACACTTCACCCCATAGTAACACCATCAGGGTCAACATAAAAAATTGCACCCTCAAAGGCATCCCCCAGGGCCACCCCCGTGTTTATTCCCTGAACCGCCTCATCTTCCACCATTGCCGCCGCCTCCTCGTTTAGATCGTGAGGTGTTCCCCGCCCAGCATTTATGTCACTAATGGGCATACAGTCGGTTTCCATGGCATGCCCATCCGCATCCGCCTCCTGTGCTGCACAACCTACCACATCATCCTCATCATCATCCTGAGATTCGGAATGCGCATCCCTATCCCCTCCTGTATCCTCCTCCGGACAGTCCGCTAATGCCGTCTCCCACTCTGTCCATCTGAACCATTGGCGGCCCTTGACGAGATGGCGAACGGCGGACAATGTGCACCCCTGCAGCATACACTTCTCCGGGGCCGACAGCTCCACCGTTCCAGCCACCCTCTTCCCTGCCTTCACAACGTACACCGCTGCAGCATACGCCGTTGCAGCCTCCAGCTCTTTATTGTATACCCCCAGCCTCATCTGGGTGCGCTTCGCCTTATCTGCCTCCAGGAAAAGGATCGTGGCGCTCCATTTCCCGCGCTTCTCCTTCCGCACTCCCTTGTACTGCGATGTCGCCGTTTGGCGCTTACCCCTGCGCTCCCCGGGTGGTACGTCCCCTTTTGCATCACTCACCGACGGAGTCGTCAGCCGGCGTTTCCTCGCTGCCGGCATCGCCAACATCACCGGCCCTGTCGCAGACGAAGGTACGTGTGTCGGATCTGCCTGTTTCGTGTGTTCTGCGCATCCTGGTGGGCCACTCATCGACCACTTTGCTGTCGACGGGGAGGGTAAGGCGCAGGGACTCTGATGAACCACCCCAAGCTCGAACGTCTCATGGACTGCACAGGCTGTCTCCATCCCCGCATCCGAATTGCCCTTGGACCCCGGACTGTCGGAAGCACTCGGCCGCACACCCGCGGTTGGCTTTGGAGTTGACGGAGCAGTGGATCTGCTGCTCCCATGCGCAGGCAACCCCCCTTGAAGGCTTTGCGTCTGCAGCACGTGCGCTGCGGCTGCGAGGAGCTGGTCATCACTGTAGCCCATAACGGATCCAAGGGCACTGAGTGCTGCTTTCCAAATTACCATGTCCCTCTTCAAGCCGTACAGCTCTACTTGGTACATTGTCAGCTTCGTGTTGACATCCTCCCGTCCTGAGTCAAGCACGGCCCCATCTACCGTCACTTTTGGCTGGGGTTGCTTCGGTACGACCAACCCCTGTTTCACGAGTGCGGGTACAAGCTCATGGTCTGCATGCATGCATATATCCCCACGCATGCCACGGCGGAACTCCAGAGCACTTACCCCCTCCAAATACAGAAACAGCTTGACATTCCTGAAATCGGTATCCACCAGGACCTTCAGGTAGTGGCATACAAATACGACGCAATCATATTCGTTGTCCTGCCGCTGCAACTGATGCTTCTGCACGCCCAGACGAACACTGAGAGTCATTAAACATGATCATGAAGCGCAACGTACCCTCAAACAGAGCTTCGCCCATGCAGTGACGTATTGCCTACATTGAAGGTAAATGGTTTGGCATCCTTCAAGACGGCGACGAGAGTGGTCGGGTCACACTCTGGGTGGAGCGCCCTGGCGGTGAGTTCCAGCAAACTGTATGGCATTGGCAACACAGCGCGCGTGACGAGACATTAGCAACATCCCCATCATCGCCAGGGGAAGATCCCTACCGCCCATGCACACTCACCGTTTGACGCCATCGAACACGGTTGGATCGTCGTAGTGTGTGCCGTAACTGTCGAAAAGAATCAGCTCGAGTGGATGATCCGCATCTACCGACGTGGAGGCCAGGAGTTTCTTTGGTGAGGGGACGACCATGAGCGAATAGTGAGCACTGCCACGTGGCGCCCAATAAGTGTACTTGTGTCCAACAGAAAGGAGTAAAGCAGTACAACAGCCAGAGGATCACATGGTGAAGACTTACTTCTTGAATACCGGAATCGCCAGATAGTCCACGTCGAACACCCTGGCTGATTTGCCCATTGAATACGGCTTGTTGAAGTCCGACACATACGCGAAGGCCTTGCTGTCGATTGCCGCCCATGTTGTGCCGTTGGGCGTTGTGGGGCGCCGAATGCTCAGCAACCTGCACGCAGTCTCACAGCACATGATTAGGGTTGAACTAGATCGTTCGTACATATTTAATGGTACCGGGTAGCCACACGATGGCCATGATGACTCACACGTTGTGAAAGTCCACGATGGCGTCGGTGAGGCACTGACCATCTGCAATAGTAACCCCGTATGACGCCTCGAGGAAACAGCCGGCGCCATCGGCGTTGAACAACGTCAGAGCCTTGAACTTCTCGGGCTGCTTCAATTCGCAAAGCCGGAACACAAAGTCTTGTGGCTCAGGAACCTCCGCCTCCTGCTCCAACTTGGTCGAATATTGCGGCACAAGTTGTGCAGCACCCGTTGTTGCCTTGCCATCCTCCTGCGCCTTACCTTCATTACTAGCAGCTTGGCGCCTTCCGCTTCGAAGGCATCTAGCGATGGCAGCAGCCTTTTCTACTTCGCCGCCGCTGCCATTGTTAACAACGTTAACTCCACGCGGCTGCCAGCCTTTAGATGCGCACTGCTTGTCGCGGGCTCGGCCGAGCGATGCCATATTAGGAGACCTGCTGGATTAAACAAAAAGGTGTGCGAGAAGGGCTAGATTCTATGGTGGCAGATCTAAATTCGGCGGATGCAGTTTCTGCAACCTGCGGAAAGTTATACCTATGAGGTTCACTGAGGGATGAAGAGGTTCTCTCGTTCCATGAAGGGCACAGGATTGAAAGTGATGGTTGGATCTGAAGGCTTTTTTGGTGCGAATGCACAGTTGCATGCCATATGTCGAGCGTGCATGGCATTCTTATCGCGTTGGTGCGCAATGTGTGCAGTGTGCGCGATAAGACGCCCGAGGCAACGCTAGGTTGCCACACCCATCCCCGTTAATGCAAGAACACTTTCATGTCACACCCTGCCACTCACAACAAGAATATGGATACGTGCACAATGATGGCATAATTGGGATGCTTGGTAATTTGCCGTGAGATGGTGGGAAGTGTTACGTTTCCCTAATAAAACATACAGCGTCCGCCCGTAACGAGTATGCGATAATAACCACCAAACAGGCCTTACGGTATCCTAAGTCTGTGCACCACGCTTTTAGGGTTTGCGGTTGTATCAATGGGCAGAAACGTCTGCGGGGGCTGCAGTAATGCATTTAGAGATGACAACAGGCTTCAGTCACACTTGGCGAGAAGAGCGGATTGCAGAGTAAAAATCCTAGGTCATGGGAAGGGCCTCCTTACTGAGGCATATCTGGAGGCCCGTCGCGCGTTTCTACACAACCCCCCCGCTTCTCCCGCCCAGACCCCCGCCAGTCCACGTGCAAGTGAGAGCGCCTCACGGAAGAGAGATGCAGTTCCAACGGCCGTAGAGGTAGAGCATAGCGATGCGGACGATCACTCTACATGTAGCGAGCAGAGTACCGATGGAGAGATTTTTGACACCCTTACCGCGATATATCTCTTCATTAGAGACGCCGACCTGTCTCGCCGCGAAGTCAACAGACTGTTGCACATTTTCAGAAATCCAAGGTTCAACCTGCGAGCTTTATGGCGCTGGCGCAATAAGCTCGATGTCCGGCGATGGGGAGAAGCAAGGGCCCCGTCGGACATGGTCCCGTGGCTGTGCGAGGAGATAGTAGTCAGAGGGCCGCGTGGGCAAACGCAGAAGCTCCCGCTCCACTACCGGAATACGCAGCTTGTAAGTCGTTGCAGCACAACGCCGTTGCGTTGTCATGTTGTAGCAGCAAACACCAGAACGAATTAATCCCCACATCTGTCATGTGCATTGCCGCTTCAACAGCTCGTGCAGAAGCTCGTGCGCATCTTTGGTGGAGTCAAAGGGTTCGTTACCAAACCGCGGACTGAGGTGGACCCCAAGACAAACGAAAGGATCTACACAGACCCGGCGACTGCTAAATGGCTGGAAGAGGCGCAGGTGCGTGCTGGCGTTCGTTTGGCTGTCCTGGTCTGCCTTGGCGGTTGGACATTTGCCATCTACAACATGCGTTTGTATGTGGCAGAAGGAGGTAAACGACCCATCGGCTTGGGTGCTCGGCAGCATGCCATCAAGTATGTCAGGGTGGGATGCGTGAACATTGGGGTTTGTTGTGGCATGAACCTATGCAGGTGGCTCGACTGAAAGGGATGGCTGCAGCTGCATTGTTCGACTGCATGGTGGTGAACTTGACAACGCTGCAGCTGGTCATCGAGGAGTTTAAAAGCAAGTGCAGCAGCGGACTCTACATGACAGCATGGGATTTCGTGGGATGTGACGAAGACCTCATTGAGAAGTGGAAGCCTGCGGGGGGTGAGGACACCGAGTCTGGGGAGGAGATACCAGCATACTTCTGCATCCCGGAGGGGCCCCTCATGCGAGACAGCCGCAGCTGCCGCCGCGTGGTGCGCATGGTGCACGGCGGCTTCGTTAAGCAGGCGGCGGTCTTGGGAATACATCCGCGCGACGTTCCGGAGGAGGTCAGAGTTGTCAATGAAGAGGTGGTGAGCCGCCTTCGCCGCACACCTACTAAGCGCACGCGTGCATGCAGTACAAGCGATGAGGGAGTAACCTCGGACGGGTCGGAAGTGGAGCCGCGCGCACAGAGGGCTGGCGTATTGTTCCCGCTGGACGACGACAAAGAGAGCGTTGCGCGCGTCGTGTAGGGCGTGTTGAAGTGGCTATTCTTCATTGTTTTCTATGGGTGTGTGGTTAGTGGGAAGCGGGATTTGGGACATCGCGTGTAGTGTGTGTCAGGGGTTGCATTGGTAGGCCGCATGGTGGGATGCTTGCTTGTGTATCATTGGCAATTAACAGAAGTTGTGATACTTGTGTTTATTGGCGAAAACCCACCCTAAACTGGCGCGTGTCCCTGCTACACATCTGAGCTGTGCTTCGTTGTTGCATCGAGCATATGAGGTGTGTTAAGAAAGTGTGTGGACGGTGTAGTCAATGCCCAGTGCAGTATATCGGGTGATCACCATAAGGGAGGTTGGAGTGCACGTTTTTTACGAGCCGCATGTCAAATGTCCACATTTCCAACCTCACAATGTCATTTTCGGAGACCCACCTCGCGCGGTGTCCATCTCTGGCAAGCACGACTCGGGGTTCGGCTCCCTTGAACATTCGAGCCAGAGTTGCATTTTTAGGTCGTAGCTTTCCGGATACTTTTCTGCAACTTTTGGGCAAATTTCATGCAGCCTCCACACTTAAACTCGAATTCGGGCCAAACCCTTTTCCGCGCAGTGATTATGATGATGGTGATGGTGATGGTGATGGGGAGGATGATGGTGAGTCAGTAGAATGTTCCTCGAGTTGTAACGATGACGATTGTGCCAGTGGCAAACCTTTTCCTCCACCTCCTTTTCTTCCTTCCTCTCCCCATTCCGCTCCTAGGTTGGCACTTGTCATCCACTCTCCCCATTCTTTGAGCCTTTGTCTCTCTTCAACTTCTCACCGCATCCCCTTCGGCCTGTCCCCCATCCCCTTCCACCCACCCCCCATCCCCTTCCGCCTGTCCCCAATCCCCTCCCGCTCCCATTCCGTCCGTCCAGCAATCACTATGGCAGTTGCTGACGTCAACAGCGACTCCACCATCCTGCCACGTCACCGCATCCGCCTATTCACCCGCAACATCAGCGCCAGCTCACCATCCATTCTCAGCCAGCTGGCAGGTAGGAGCTGACATACTAGCCTGACGCTAGGCGAATCATTCAAATCAGCCACGTCAGCCACATAAGCTACTCGCCAGTCATACGCCCTGCTAACTGTTTGCCCTCTCCCTTCCCTCCTCCTCCTCCTACTCTCCCACTCTTCTCCCCAAACCCCTCCTCACTCCTCTCCCCAATCCTCCCCATTTCAAGCCTTTTTGTGCTGCAGCCATGGCAGCGGTGCAGCAGCGGCCAGTGGCAATCATAGGCCCAGGGACGTCCGACCAAGCAGCTCTCATCAGCCCACTTGCCACTGCCACTCAGGTCAGCACACTAGCTAGGCAACGTTATGTTGTTCTTGGAATGGCGTCTCATGCAGATTGCGACACTGTTTCTAGGCTCCTGGAACCCATCAGCCCAACCAGCTAAGCAGGGTCTGACCCAATGGCCTCATCCTATCCACCTCATCCCATCCTATCCACCTCATCCCATCCCATCCACCTCATCCCATCCTATCCACCTCATCCCATCCTATCCACCTCATCCCATCCCATCCACCTCATCCCATCCCATCCACGTCATCCCATCCTATCCACCTCATCCCATCCCATCCCCCTCATCCCATCCTATCCACGTCATCCCATCCCATCCACGTCATCCCATACCATCCACCTCATCCCATCCCATCCACCTCATCCCATCCCATCCACGTCATCCCATCCCATCCACCTCATCCCATACCATCCACCTCATCCCATCCCATCCACCTCATCCCATCCCATCCACCTCATCCCATACCATCCACCTCATCCCATACCATCCACCTCATCCCATCCTATCCACCTCATCCCATACCATCCACCTCATCCCATCCCATCCACCTCATCCCATCCTATCCACCTCATCCCATCCCATCCACCTCATCCCATCCCATCCACCTCATCCCATCCTATCCACCTCATCCCATCCCATCCAAGTCATCCCATCCCATCCACCTCATCCCATCCCATCCACCTCATCCCATCCCAACCACCTCATCCCATCCCATCCACGTCATCCCATCCCATCCACCTCATCCCATACTATCCACCTCATCCCATCCCATCCACGTCATCCCATCCCATCCACCTCATCTTATTCTATCCACCTCATCCCATCCCATCCACGTCATCCCATCCCATCCACGTCATCCCATCCCATCCACGTCATCCCATCCTATCCACCTCATCCCATCCCATCCACCGCACCCCATCCCATCCACGTCATCCCATCCCATCCACGTCATCCCATCCTATCCACGTCATCCCATCTCATCCACCTCATCCCATCCTATCCACCTCATCTTATCCTATCCACCTCATCCCATCCCATCCACGTCATCCCATCCCATCCACCTCATCCCATCCTATCCACGTCATCCCATCCTATCCACCTCACCCCATCCCATCCACCTCATCCCATCCCATCCACGTCATCCCATCCCATCCACGTCATCCCATCCAATCCACCTCATCCCATTCCATCCACCTCATCCCATCCTATCCACCTCATCCCATCCCATCCACGTCATCCCATCCTATCCACGTCATCCCATCCCATCCACGTCATCCCATCCTATCCACGTCATCCCATCTCATCCACCTCATCCCATCCTATCCACCTCATCTTATCCTATCCACCTCATCCCATCCCATCCACGTCATCCCATCCCATCCACCTCATCCCATCCTATCCACGTCATCCCATCCTATCCACCTCACCCCATCCCATCCACCTCATCCCATCCCATCCACGTCATCCCATCCCATCCACGTCATCCCATCCAATCCACCTCATCCCATTCCATCCACCTCATCCCATCCTATCCACCTCATCCCATCCCATCCACGTCATCCCATCCTATCCACCTCATCCCATCCCATCCACGTCATCCCATCCTATCCACCTCATCCCATCCTATCCACCTCATCCCATCCCATCCACATCATCCCATCCCATCCACCTCATCCCATACCATCCACCTCATCCCATCCCATCCACCTCATCCCATCCCATCCACCTCATCCCATCCCATCCACCTCATCCCATCCCATCCACCTCATCTTATCCTATCCACCTCATCTTATCCTATCCACCTCATCCCATCCTATCCACCTCATCCCATCCCATCCAAGTCATCCCATCCCATCCACGTCATCCCATCCCATCCACCTCATCCCATCCCATCCACCTCACCCCATCCCATCCACGTCATCCCATCCCATCCACGTCATCCCATCCTATCCACGTCATCCCTTCTATCCACGTCATCCCATCCCATCTACGTCATCCCATCCCATCCAAGTCATCCCATCCCATCCACCTCATCCCATCCTATCCACCTCATCCCATCCCATCCACCTCATCCCATTCCATCCACCTCATCCCATCCTACCCACGTCATCCCATCCTACCCACGTCATCCCATCCCATCCACGTCATCCCATCCTATCCACGTCATCCCATCCTATCCACCTCATCCCATCCCATCCACCTCATCCCATCCTATCCACCTCATCCCATCCCATCCACCTCATCCCAACCCATCCACCTCATCCCAACCTATCCACCTCATCCCATCCTATCCACCTCATCCCATCCCATCGACATCATCCCATCCTATCCACCTCATCCGATCCTATCCACCTCATCCCATCCCATCCACCTCATCCCATCCCATCCACGTCATCCCTTCTATCCACGTCATCCCATCCTATCCACGTCATCCCATCCCATCCACGTCATCCCATCCTATCCAGGTCATCCCATCTCATCCACCTCATCCCATCCCATCCCCGTCATCCCATCCTATCCACCTCATCCCATCCTATCCACCTCATCCCATCCCATCCACCTCATCCCATCCTATCCACCTCATCCCACCATATCCACCTCATCCCATCCTATCCACATCATCCCATCCCATCCACCTCATCCCATCCTATCCACCTCATCCCATCCTATCGACGTCATCCCATCCTATCCACCTCATCCCATCCCATCCACCTCATCCCATCCTATCCACCTCATCCCATCCTATCCACGTCATTCCATCCTATCCACCTCATCCCATCTCATCCACCTCATCCCATCCTATCCACGTCATCCCATCCTATCCACCTCATCCCATCCTATCCACCTTATCCCATGCTATCCACCTCATCCCATCCCATCCACGTCATCCCATCCTATCCACCTCATCCCATCCCATCCACCTCATCCCATGCTATCCACGTCATCCCATCCTATCCACGTCATCCCATCCCATCCACGTCATCCCATCCTATCCACCTCATCCCATCCTATCCACATGATCCCATCCCATCCACGTCATCCCATCCTATCCACGGCATCCCATCCTATCCACGTTATCTCATCCCATCCACCTCATCCCATCCTATCCACCTCATCCCATCCTATCCACCTCATCCCATCCTATCGACGTCATCCCATCCTATCCACGTCATCCCATCCCTTCACCATCATACCGTCTGTGCCCCCTCTCTGCAGACCCCTCTGGTGTCGGCGGCAGCAACAGACGTGCAGCTGATAGTGGGGGGTGCGCGGCCGTACTTCATGCGCACCATTCCCAACGATGGGGCTGACATGCACGCCATAGCCGGTAACACATGCTCACACGTGCTGTGGAGATGAGGCGATGTGTGCAGGTGAGGCGATGTGTGCATGTGAGGTAATGTGTGCATGTGAGGCGATGTGTGCATGTGAGGCGATGTGTGCATGTGAGGCGATGTGTGCATGTGAGGCGATGTGTGCATGTGAGGCAATGTGTGCATGTGAGGCGATGCGTGCATGTGAGGCGATGTGTGCATGTGAGGCGATGTGTGCATGTGAGGCAATGTGTGCATGTGAGGTGATGTGTGCATGTGAGGCGATGTGTGCATGTGAGGCGATGTGTGCATGTGAGGCGATATGTGCGGGTAGGTGACGTGTGTGCATGGTGTTTCATGTTGCGTAGTGAGCATTCCCAATGATGGAGTCCACATGCACGCCATAGCCGGCAACACACGGCACTGCATGCAGGTATGGTAGTGCATGTTAGAACGGTGATGCATGTATGTAGGTTCGGTAATGTGCGTAGGTATGGTGATGCATGCAGGCAGGTACAGTGCATGCAGGTACGATGAATTATTCGTGTTCGTTTCCTTTCCCTGGTTTTCTCTCTTCCTCGTTTCTCTGCGGCAGCACTGCTGCTGCGCTACAAGTGGAGGCAGGTCGTGGCAGTGTACACAGACAACCACTTCGGCCGCAACGGCATCACCGCACTCGTGACCTACCTGCTCGCACACAAGGTGTGCGCACGCACTCACTTGCACACTCACGCACACACTAGACCCGCTTGCACACTGAGATGCTTTTTGAGTCGATTCGAAAGTCACCACTTTGGCCGCAACGGAAGGTGTGCTCACACTCATGACGAAGCACTCTCTCATGTCACGGTCCTTGCAGGAGTTCGTTTGAGAATTCTTAGTGAAGACGCTCACCGTCCCCTCACACTCACTAACACTTATTCACACTCACTAACACTTTTTCACACTCACTAACACTTACTTACACTCACTCATACTCACTCACTCTTACTCACACTCACTCACACTTATGCATACTCACTCACACTTACTCACACTCACACTTACTAACACTTACTCATACTCACTCACACTCACTCACACTTACTCACACTCACTCACACTTACTCACACTCACTCACACTTTCTCACACTCACTCACACTCTCACTCACTCATTCACTCACACCCATTCTCACATTTTCATACTCACCGGCACTCCTTCACACTCACTATCCCTCACGTGAGATTTGAGAAAATTGAAAGAAAAAGACATACCATGTGTGTGCTGTGCGGTGCGTTGGCCCCCTCGTCCCATCTCCTCCTATTTCCCTTAGCCTTTTCCTACCCGTCATCCCCCTCTCAAAGGCGTGGCGCGTGACCAAGAGCTTCAAGGCAGCCTTCTTGATTCCCCTCTCAACTCTTTCCACCCCCTACCCCTATCCCATACTCCCTATACCCCTACCCCTGTCCATACACCTGAAAGGCGTCGGATGTGCACATTGTCCAGAGGGTGCCTGTCAAGTCCACGTGGACAGCTGATGACGTGGCACAAGCCCTGGCTGCCAGCAAGGCAGTGGACTCCTCCGTCTACGTGCTGCACGCGTCCTCTACCATGTCTGCTCTCATACTCGATACAGGTACACTCGATATGTGTCTACTCTGTGTAGATGGGCGTAGTTAAAAGAGCATTGTGGGTAACATTGTGGTGGGGGAATAAAAAAGTTCTAGAAAAGTTTTTCCTCTTATAGGATATATGGTCAAGAATATCATTTCCATAGCCATATGTCTGGTGCACCCCCATCCTTCCCTCAAGCACATCAAGAATGCAAGGGAAGAAGTACGTGTGGAAACCAATGCGAAACATTTCAGATTCCGCCCACATACCTTTGCCTCCTTCACTCCACCCCTATTTCAGCGAGCAAGGTGGGCATGATGGGGAAGAACTACGTGTGGATCGCATCTGAGGGGGCTGCCCAGGCCAACACGTCCACACTGCAGAGTGGAGAGGTGCGTGAGCAGGAGCATGACAGTGCACGAGGGAGCATGACAGTGCACGAGGGAGCATGACAGTGCACGAGGGAGCATGACAGTGCACGAGGGAGCATGAGGAGAGTACACGTCTGTCTTTTGAGACGTCACAAAACTTGACTCCTAGTTGCTCGTCTCTCGCTTCTTCCCTCCTCTACTCAACGCACATCCGGACCCCTCGTCTCCTCTCCCATGGGTGGGGGTTTTCTGTCATAAACTCTACCCGATTTCCTGGGTCCAGTTTCATTCAACTTCCTCTCCTCTCCTCTCCCCTAGTCTCTTTCCGAAACCTTCCATACCTTCTCCCCAGGGTTTGATCACCACTCTCCTATCTACTTCACTTCTCCTCTCATCGCTTGTCCATCCTTCGTCCTTCTCCCCCACTTCTTATCCCTCCCACCCCTCTCTTCCCCAGGGTCTGATAATTACAGCCTCGTATCTGCGTCCGTCGCAGCGCCTGGCGGCCTTCAAGCAGCGGTGGAGGCAGGTGAGCGTGCAGCAGTTCCCAGGGGCGGCGGAGGAGGGCCCTAAGACGTACAGCCTCGCAGCGTATGATGCCGTCTACCTTGTCTCCCTCGCCCTGCACTCCCTGCTGCACCGCAACAGCACCACCAGAAGCGCCAGCAGCATCAGCAACAGCAGTAGCAGCAGTGCAGGGTCACGCTCCATTGTGCCTTGGGCTGTCGCGAGTAACGAGGCCTTGATACTGCCGTTGGCAGGGCAAGGGGTGGACGCTAGGCTCATTCCGCTGCTGCAGAACCTGCAGCGCAACTCAGGTGGGTGCTTGCTTACTTGTACGGTGCCTCATAGCCAATGCAACTCATACCCTTAAGCACCTCATACTCGTCATTCTTTCTAAGGTACATCTTTTTTTTTTTTTTTTCCTGGCTCCTTAATTGGATCGTTCCCGCTCGCTCATGCTTCCCTCCCCCTTGCATTGCAGTGGGCCCAGCACTACATCAAGCCATCCTCAAAAAATCCTTCCAAGGACTCACAGGGAGGTAAGAGGTTGAAAGCCTTCCTTACAGGGACCTTTTGAGGCGCTGGAAAGTTCTTTTAGGCGATTATTGATGAAACATGAGCTGCTTCTACGGCTGTGCTTCCTCACCTCCTCCTCTCCCTTCCTCCCTCTCTTGCTCAAACTCCCCCCTCCCTCCCTGCCCCACCTCCCACCCTCCCTCCCTCCCCACGGTTCTCTCCAGGGTGTCCCTCACGCAGCATGGTGATGTGCAAGCTGATGCAACGGAGGTGCTCAACGTGGTCAACCCCACCGCCATCGGGGTCGGCTTTTGGACTCCGCACTCGCAGCTTACGCACTCGCTAAAGGTATGCTTGGTGTGGTGTGTTGATTTGATCTTGTGTTATGTGAACACAGCGCTTCTTAAGCATGGCATTGACATTTTGTCTTGCTTCCCTTCATGTGATGTCTCGCACCTCTCGTTCTCTGCTCACCTTCTCTCTTTGCCTCGCCTGTTCCAGCGGCCCTCCAAGGACCAGCAAGAGACACTCAACATAGTCTTTCCGGGTGGGATGGTGCAAGTGAGTGAGTTGTATTCAGTAACGAATAAGTGAAGCATTTACGAATAAAGATACATGCTCATTCACAAAATTATACATGGTCAAAAGCATGCCTTTGCCTCTGCTCACGCAAGACATGCCGTGCGCCTTTCTTTGGATTCAAGATGTCTCAAAATAAAATAAAATTCTGAGACGTCTGAAAACCAGAAGTCATGCCTTGTCTCTTCTCACTTTGTTATTTCGCCCTACTCTTTTCTTTGTCTGCCAGACAAGCCTGGGTCTCTGCCTATCAATTAGACTCGGGTCATGCACATGGCTAATATTCATCTACTTAACTAATGCAAACTGCAACGGCTCAGCAATCCCAAAATCCTTGTGGTAAAATAAATCTCTTACCTTTTTGGGTCCAACAGTTTTCCTAGGACAGCTTTTGAATCCGGGCCGCTTCTTGAAAATAGGTGACTCGCTGCGCCTTCCCCCCAATGGCCATGGCCCCATTCAGGCACCCATTGGCGCATTTCCCAAGACTAAACTCCGATTGGCTGTACCAAATGGAGGGGTGCGTATTCCCTTTGTGTGTGTGTGTGTGTGTGTGTGTGTGTACGTGTGTGTGTGTGCGTGTGTATGAGTGCGTGTGTATGAGTGCGTGTGTGTGAGTACGTGTGTGTGTGTGCGTATGTGTGAGTGCGAGTGTATGTGTGTGTGAGTGAGTGTATGTGATTGTGTGTGTTTGTGTGTGAGTGTGTGGCTGCAGCAACCCTAGATCCCTTTTCCACCTTCCTCCACTCATCTCCCTGTTGGGTATTCTGTCATTCTTGCCTGGTCTCGAATGGCCTTCCCCCTTCTCACCTCCCCCCCTTCCCCCCCCCCCTCCCCCGCCCCCTCAGATCGATCTGCAGTTTGTTTGTCAACATCGCAAGAGGAGAGGGCAACGACCAGAAACCCCATCCATCTCGCTTCCCCCTTCCCTCTCCCCTTGTCTCGCATCTACAGCAGGTTGTCAACATCATCCAGTGGTCCTGCCACGGTCAACGGCCGCTACTCTGGCCATTGCATCGACCTCTTCCATGCTCCTGTGCCCATGCCCTGCCGCCCTGCCCATCCATCTCCCTTTCCTCCCCCCTCTCCCCTCCCCTTCCTCAGGCCTACCAACAGTTTGTCAATGTCTCAAGAGGGGAGGGCAACGGCCGCTTCTCTGGTTACTGCATCGACCTCTTCCGAGCAGCTGCAGCCATGCTGCCGTACGCACTCCACTATGAGTTTGTGCTCTACGGGGAGGATAACCTCACCGAAATGGTGCTGGCTGTAGCAGACAAGGTGCGTGCTGCCTACTCATTTTTAGGCATATAATAAAACCTTCTTTTTTGTTTTTTTTTTCTCTCTCTCGAATGGTCCTTGCATTAATCATTGGGGGGGTACAGAGGAAGATGCAAAACACAAGCAAACAAGCAATCAAACCAATCTAACCTACCACACATTCTCCTACCCACTCCCGCCCCCCTCTGTCCGACCCTAATGGTCGAACGGGGGCTCGATCAGCTGGTACAGCTGGCCCTCGCTAAGGGGGGCAAAGGGCCCCCGCACGCCCAGCTCGTCCGCTGCAAGGGCTTCATTGGTCTTACAGCGGAGGGCGTTGGCCTGCGCCCTTTGGAGGCACACGCTCCAGCGCTGGCGGTATTCCGTCAGCAGCTTGGCGGCCTCGTAGGAGGAGGGTGCGGCGTTGAATCTCAGCTCGGCCGCCAGCTCTGCGCATTGCCGCAGAAACGCCATCGCCATCTCTCTCTCTCTCTCTCCCCCTCAAGTGCCCCTCTCTGCATCGTGTCTATCGTGTGGCAGGCGTACGACATGGCCATTGAGTGCCTCTATTGGTGAGTGCCTCTCTTGGTGAGTGCCTCTCTTGGTGAGTGCCTCTTTTGGTGATCTCATGACAAAATCGTTGACAGGATCTTGCTGGTTCTACCCGTATTGTTACAGCGGCACTGTAACCCATCCGTCGGTATCACATTAGCCCGGCTCTTTGTCGTCGTGTGACTCAAAAAGAGATTCCTTATAGTCACCATCTCTGCACGGCTAATCTCATGCACGGCAGTGTACCCCGTCCGCACCGCCCTCGCCCAGCTCTTCATAAACACGACTCAATGTCAGCTTCCTTATCGTCACCATGCACCCGGCCAATCATGTACCCGGACAATCATGTACCCGGCTAATCATGTACCCGGCTAATCATATACCCAGCTAATCATGTACCCGACTAATCATGTACCCGGCTAATCATGCACCCGGCTAATCATGCACCCGGCTAATCATGCACCCGGCTAATCATGTACCCGACTAATCATGCACCCGGGTAATCATGTACCCGGCTAATCATGCACCCGGCTAATCATGCACCCGGCTAGTCATGCACCCGGCTGATCATGCACCCGGCTAATCATGCACCCAGCTAATCATGTACCCGACTAATCATGCACCCAGCTAATCATGTACCCAGCTAATCATGTACCCGGCTAATCATGCACCTGGGTAATCATGTACCCGACTAATCATGTACCCGGCTAATCATGCACCCGGCTAATCATGCACCCGGCTAATCATGCACCCGGCTAATCATGCACCCGGGTAATCATGTACCCGGCTAACCATGTACCCGGCTAATCATGCACCCGGCTAATCTTGCACCCAGCTAATCATGTACCCGGCCAATCATGTACCCGGACAATCATGTACCCGGCTAATGATGTACCCGGCTAATCATATACCCAGCTAATCATGTACCCGACTAATCATGTACCCGGCTAATCATGCACCCGGCTAATCATGCACCCAGCTAATCATGCACCCGGCTAATCATGTACCCGACTAATCATGCACCCGGGTAATCATGTACCCGGCTAATCATGCACCCGGCTAATCATGCACCCGGCTAGTCATGCACCCGGCTGATCATGCACCCGGCTAATCATGCACCCAGCTAATCATGTACCCGACTAGTCATGCACCCAGCTAATCATGTACCCAGCTAATCATGTACCCGGCTAATCATGCACCTGGGTAATCATGTACCCGGCTAATAATGCACCCGGCTAATCATGCACCTGGGTAATCATGTACCCGACTAATCATGTACTCGACTAATCATGCACCCAGCTAAAACCCGGTTAATCATGCACCTGGCTAATCATGTACCTGGCTAATCATGCACCCGGCTAATCATGCACCCGGCTAATCATGCACCTGGCTAATCATGTACCCGGCTAATCATGCAACCGGCTAATCATGTACCCGGCTACTCATGCACCCGGCTAATCATGTACCCGACTGATCATGTACCCGGCTAATCATGTACCCGGCTAGTCATGCACCCGGCTAATTATGCACACGGGTAGTCATGTACCCGACTAGTCATGTACCCGGCTAATCATGCACCCGGCTAATCATGCACCCGGCTATGTGCCCGGATAATCATGCACACGGCTAGTCATGCACCCGGCTAAAACCTGTCTAATCATGCACCCGGCTAATCATGCACCCGGCTAATCATGCACCCGGCCAATCATGCACCCGGGTAATCATGTACCCGGCTAACCATGTACCCGGCTAATCATGCACCCGGCTAATCTTGCACCTGGCTAATCATGCACCCGAATAAATCATGCACCCGGCTAATCATGCACCCGGCTAATCATGCACCCGGCTAATCATGCACCCGGCTAATCATGCACCCGGCTAATCATGCACCCGGCTAATCATGCACCCGGCTAATCTTGCACCCGTCTAATCATGCACCCGGCTAATCATGCACCCGGCTAGTCATGCACCCGGCTAAAACGCGTCTAATCATGCACCCGGCTAATCATGCACCCGGCTAATCATACACCCGGCTAATCATGCACCCGGCTAAAACCCGTCTAATCATGCACCCGGCTAATCATGCACCCGGCTAATCATGTACCTGGCTAATCATGCACCCGGCTAATCATGTTCCCGGCTAAGCATGCACCCGGCTAATGATGCACCCGGCTAATCATGCACCCGGCTAATCATGTCAGATATATATGACTTGGTGTTTGTAGGCTCTAGTGGGTTAGACACTAAGGGGTACAGGTTTCTAGGGTTTCATATTTGTATCACACACTTTCTTAGTTCATTCATTCCTCATTATTTCACATGGTATAGAGCAGGTTCCCTAGTGGGAACGTTTCCTAGGGCCCACCACTAAAACGATTTTTTTTTCACCTGCCCGGAGCGCGCTTCGCACCTGCCCTAGTCGCGCCCCGTGCGCCTGCCCTCCCGTCGCGTCCCCTGCCCTTAGCGGCCCGTCGCGCCCTCTTAAGGCCCCTTCGCGGCCCCTCTCACGGCCCTTCGCGGCCCCTTCGCGGCTCCTTCGCGGCCCCTCCGGGGCCCTTCGTGGCCCCTCTCATGGCCCTTCGCGGCCCCTCGCGGCCCCTCACGGCCCCTTCGCCGCTCTTCGCGGCCCCTCGCGGCCCCTTCGCGGCCCCTCGTGGCCCCTTCTCGGCCCCGTCGCCGCCCTTCGCGGCCCCTTTACGGCCCCTCGCGGCCCCTTCTCGGCCCCGTCGCCGCCCTTCACGGCCCCTTCACGGCCCCTCGAGGCCCCTTCACCGCCCTTAGCGGCCCCTTCGCGGCCCCTCCGCGGCCCTTCGCGGCCCCTCGCGGCTCCTTCACGGCCCCTCCGCGGCTCCTTCGCGGCTCGTCGCGGCCCCTTCGTGGCCCCTCCCCTGCTCTTCACGGCCCTGCCGCCCCGCCGTCGCCGCCCCTGCAGCAGCTGCCGTCGCGCCTGCTGCCGCTGCTGCTTCTTCTACGATCGGTCGCCGCCGCCGCTGCTGCTGTGACAGCCGCCGCCGCTCCTGCTGAGACAACCGCCGCTGCCGCTGCCGTGACAGCCGCCGCCGCCGTCCCGGCCCTGCCCTGCAGCCGAGGCGTGGCACTCCTCTGCCGCCCTGTCGCAGCCCTGTCCCTGCCGGCGCGCCTCGGCCCTGCCCCACCGCTTGCGGACCTCTACCCACCCGCCCCTGGTAAGAGCACCGCCGAGCCGTGCCTCTCCTGCTGAGCTGCTCCTAGCCTGCTGCTGACGCTGCTAGCCTGCTGCTGATGCTGCTAGCTTGCTACTACTGCTGTCATGGCTACCCCTAGTGTTCTCACCTTTGATGCTGAGGGTCGGGCTGTCGACTTTGAGGTTTGGGTCGATGATCTGCAGCTTTTCCTGCAGTGCGATAGAAAAGATGGTCTCTCACTGTTCGATCTCACGTCTGGCGCCTCTGCTGCCCCTGCTGCCGATGCTGACAGTACTGTTCGCTCACAGTGGACCACACGCGATGCTGCTGCCCATCTTGCTGTGCGTAGTCACTTGCCGTCCATTGAGCGCGCGCACTTTAGTCAGTACAAGAGTGCTAAGACCTTGTACGAGGCTGTAGTTGCACGCTACTCTTCCCCTGCCACTGCTGCCCTTAGTCGCCTCATGCTGCCGTACCTGTTCCCTGACCTCGCCGCCTTTCCCACAGTCGCTGACCTCATTACGCACCTTCGCACTAGTGACACCCGCTACCGCGCTGCGCTTCCCGCTGAGTTCTGCGCCAAGAACCCCCCCCCCATGTACATCACCCTCTACTACCTAGTCACCCGGCTCCGTGACTCCCTTCGCTCGGTCAGGGACCACTTCCTCTCTGTTTGCCCCACCACACTCACCGTTGACCTCCTCGAGGAGCGCCTCCTGGCAGATGAGAAGAGTATAGTCGCTGTAGGAGCCTCTCGTGGTGACCCTCGTGCCCCCTTCTTTGAGGGGTGCTCCCCCTCCCCCCTTTTGCCCTCTGTTGCCTCTGCTGCTGAGGTCAACCTCGTTGGCACCGAGTCGGTCGGCGCTGCTTGTGCCCCTAGCGGGAGACGCCGCAACGGCAAGGGCAAGGGGGGTAAGGGCGCTGGAGGAGCTGGCGGGGGCGGTGGAGGTAGCGGTGGAGGTGGCGGTGGAGGCGGCGGAGGGGGTGGGGGTGGCAGTGGGAGTGGTGGCGGGGATGGGGGCTTCGGTGGCGGCGGTGGAGGCAGAGGCGGCGGCGGCAGTGGCGGTGGGAGCGTAGGAGGCGGTAGTGGCGGCGGTGGCGGCGGCGGCGGTGGAGCTGGTCGGGGTGGCTCTGTGCAGCGGGGCGGCTTCGGTGGTGGTCAACGCCAGCAGCAGCAGCACACTCGTGAGACCCCGCCCCCCCAGCAGCTTCGTGAGTGGTACGCTGTGCGTCAGCGGGGTGGGGGTGCTGGTCCCTGTGCCTACGTCCTGCGTACCGGTGACCGCACTGGTGAGCCATGCGGTGGCCCGCACACCACCCAGCGCTGCTTCGGCCGCCTGACGGATGCCTGTCGTCTCCAGTTCCCTGACGCCACTGAGATCCCTCGCTGGGGCGAGCTGCTTAGGTCAGGGGTTGCTATCTTTGATCTTGATTATGATGCTATTCTTGCTGCCATGTATGTTGTGTCTACTAGTGATGAGGGTGACTGTTACCTGTGTGTTCCGCCTGACCCGGGCATTGAGGCTGCTGCTCTAGGTGCTGGTGAGGCTGCTGCTCTAGGTGCTAGTGAGTCTGCTGCTCCAGGTGCTGGTGAGTCTGCTGCCCCAGGTGCTGGTGAGTCTGCTCTCTCAGGTACCACGTCGGCTCAGGCTTTGCATACCTTCAACCTTGACTCGGGTGCTTCCCGCTCCTTCTTTCGAGACCGCACCACACTCACGCCGCTTAGTCGGCCGGTTGCAGTCTCCCTGGCAGACCCCTCTGGGGGTCCTGTCCTTACCCACTTCTCCACTGTCTTACCGTGTCCGGCGGCCCCTTCTGGCGCCTTGTCAGGTCTTTACCTCCCCTTGTTCTCTACGAACT